ACAGAGAGTGATGTCCTTCCAGGAAAGCCCCCACTTACATATGGGTAACTTCCTCAAGCTCTCTCATCCCTCACCACTCCACCTCTTCTCTCTTGCTCTAAGCCCCCACTCTTGAGGACGGAGGGAGGGGGTCCACATCAAAGCAGAGATGTCAAAAGACCACTGATGTCTGACTGTCCTGCTGATCCAACTCCTGTTCATAAAGGGGTTGCATGGGAATTGCAGCTCTCCTTGACACACAGTCACTACATTTACATGCATCCTAGAACCGTGATTAATGAGAGAAGTCAGGTTACCACCGGAAATCAGAGAATGCCTTTACACGCACTGCAACAACCAGGTTACTGTAAAACCTGCATTTACATGCAGCTTGTGGGTAATCAGATTTCTCTCCTTCTCAGGGCCATGCTTTTTAAACAGTGCTGGCATCATTTCTGTGTATTGATGATATATAATACTGCAACCTGAAGAGTTATTTTTTCATTTTCGGTGGAAAGATTTTAACTAAGAGAGGCTTCTCATGTTTCCTCAAAATAATTCTCCATTCCTCTGTGGGGAACCAGCTTATTCAAGGCTTTTGATTTAAATATTTTGAATACACAGTTGCATTGCTACAAGTCAGTCATCTTTCCTTCCATCTGTTGGTACTGCTGGCATGATGATACTTTCCTGGCGTGTGGTAAGTATCACCATGCACATCTGCTGACATAGACTTAGCCCAAGATGTTGGTTTCAGCCGATAGAAGTCTAGCTGTGTTAAACAGGTTACTGAAGAAAGCTCAGAGTAACTTAAGTCAACTTCACTTAAGTATTCCTGTTAAAAAGGACCCACTGTGGCCAAGTTAATGCAGGGCCACTCCAGAAAAGTCTCCATATCAGAGCAGAACTTCTTATGGATTCCTGCAGGAGTCACAACAGCGTGGGCCGCCAGGAATGCGGATAGCGAGAAGAAGTAGGCTATGTTTTAATGATCTCCTCAGGATATAACTGAAGTTAATGAAGTCTGTTCCATGGGGCCTTACCTTTGACCCTGCTCTGAATGCTTCTCACCCCCGCCTGTTCCATTTTACAGTCCTAGTCACTCTGGATGCCTTTTGGTTTGTTGACTTTTCTTTCCTCTCATTGTTTTCCCAGGAAGCGGTGAAAGCTGAAGGGATGTGTGCGTACTTGTGTGTGCATGTGTGTGCGTGTGTGTGTGTCTCAAAACTACAGTATTCTAGCCTTGGCACAAGCCCTGTGGAGTCTGTGTCCTTTTTCTGCAGTTGTCCTGCGGTGTATTTACACGATGGTATAAGTATCTCCATACAAGCGGTCACGTTATTATCTACCACATTTCTGAAAACATGGCGCGCTGGTTTGTTTACGGTTTGACCTGCCAGGATATTGTTGTGCATCAGGTTTCAAAACAATTAAGCAAGACCATCTTCTCCTGCAGGAAGTACAACTGAAACCCTTTGAAGGCTCTACTGCAGATTTGGTTATTGCACCACTGTAGGCCACAGTTGCCACAGAAAGGGGCCACTCATTCCCAGAGGAGGCACTAGCAAACTGTTTGTGTGAGAGAAACATGAATGTAAGCTTAGCACGAGAGAAGCCGGGCAGCGGGCCAAGAGCAACTCTGCGCTGTGCAGGACGCTATAAAGTTGGAGCAACAGCTGATGTCTCGGGCCATGGCGTTGCACTGGTTCCCAACTCTGTGTCCAGACATCCCTGTCAAACTTGTCCTGGGAATTGGCAAGCTCAGCCCACCAGGGAAAGCAGCGAGAATAGTTGTAGCGCTAGACATGAGGCCCAAGAGTCTAACGGACAAAATCAAAGCGACTGTGCAATGAAAGACGCTTCCCTCCTGGACCCAGAATGGGCAGAGAAAACAAAACAGAGATACAGATCTGCATTCCTCTCTGGGTAGATATCCAGAATGTGCAATAGATGACCACTTCTTTGCTATTTAAAGAATAATAGAATATGAGGGTTTTTTTCCAGGAATGCTGCTATTGTTAACATGCTCAACATACCATGCAGTGTTTAAATGCAATTACCCTTTTGGGATTAATTAAGCCCTCTATTTAAAGCTTGGTGGCTTATCCAGTATTACTACATACTTTATGTACATCAAGTATTAAAAAGGGACTGACTGAAGTCTCCTGGTTCAACAAGACATCCACACTGTGCAGCATACAGTCCATACTAATTTGGACTTTGACACAGTTTTGTAGTCACTTAGTAGCCATGTAGATCACCTGACTTCAATCCAACATGTGTTGCACTTGCTTAAGATCAAACTTAAGCTCCGAAGACCCCCCCCCCAACCAACCAAAACTGAAGATGGCTGCGTGAGAAGCCTGCAGCTGACGTGAGTAGCTTATGCCCTTCAGCAAATGATTTGCAACCTAAATATGAACCATTTTACTAAATGCTACAACTCCTCAAGACCCATGAGGAGACACAAGCTAAGTTCTCGTGTCTTGTCAGCCACCTGCTTTAAGTGAAGGTCAACCCCAAAGTTAGCAACAGGCGATTGCGATTCAGGCGACCTTAAGGTGGACTGACAATTAAGGTGGACCAGCTACTCTCCAATCAGTGACAAGCTGCTCTTCGGAGTTTTACTGAGCTTTTTGTTTTATTTTCAATATTTCTTAAAAATGTTCAACTGATAGCACGGTTTTTAATAAGTATTAACATATCTACTGCAAAGAACTATGCTCCGTTTGTATCAGGAAAACACCACATTGAATGTTAAAAAGTCAGCAACCGCATCATGTTGTGTATTTAATTTGTAACAATCAGAAAGTGAGGATCCCCTAATAGAAATAAAACCTGTTTTCAAAGTCATTGTAAGAACTGTAATAGTATTATTAAGTTCACATATCGGTACTTGGTATCGACAAGTACACAAATGTAAGTAGTTGTACTGGGTCCAGAGACAAGTCGTATCTGTGCATCCCTAGTTTATGTTTACTTATTAAATTGCATCATGGACACAAAAGACAATTAGACACTATGAATCAAACATGGATGTTAACACCCTCAAATTAAAGCTGAACGTTAGTCACTGTTGTCTTGCAGTGCAATAATATTTCAATGTGATGTGGTACAGAGCCATTACAGACTGTGCTGTAGAGTTAAGCTGAGCTACCTGAGCCACTGGTTGACAAAACAGAGGATGTAAAATGATTGCTATAAATCCCTATTTATCATTCACCCTCATGGCCCTACTGCTGCAGGGCAGGTGTGTCCAATGTAAAGCTGCTGGAGCCCTACTGCTTTTGTATCTTCAGAGCTATAGGTAAATGTCAGTCCCTGATTATATGTCTAGAATTAAACGATTAGAGATTTGTCTTTGGTCTGTCTCCAGGAGACTAATGCATGTTCACAAAGCTGTCTAATGGGAATTTTGCTGGAGGCTAAATTTCTATTTAATAGCTTTTAAGGATCAAACACGTTCCCATAAATACTAAACTGACAAGTGTAGCCTCTGTACCAATTTTACCCTATTGTCCTCAGAAAAATATTGATGCTTAGTATCATAGTAACAAACTGGTATCCATACTTTGAAAGCCCTTTGAGTTCTCATGTTAGTTTAATTTTAATTATACGAAATTTTAAAGTTCTTTTTTTCTTTTTTTAGTCTCACAGACTGAGGTTGGTTTGTTTGAAATAGATTTAATTGACTTTTGTAATCACTTTGTCTTCCAATCTTTTATATGTTTTTGCAAGTATGAATTATGGTTGCTAATTCCGCCACAAACGCAAAGAAAAAGAAAGCCATGGCGGTGACATTAATCACTGTATACGTATAAGTATATACCTGTGGCACTTTTGTGACACACTGTCTCTGTAATTGCATGTCATTATCCCCCAAAAAAAATCACAAGACGGCTTCTTTTTGAAGACGATAATTTAGTGCTTTGAGATTGTGCTGAGCTGACATCATCTCACGGCAAAAGGAGGATGTTCCCAAAGGCGCCCCTCACACTTGTGTGTGGGCCAATGCTGTTAACATGCTGTCTGCTCTGTGTGTCGTGGGGCATACCTGTCCTAACTGTAGAGCAACATTTAAAGGAGGCTTATTTTAAGTTTTATCCATGAGTGACTGTCAAGAGTTGACAAAGACAGCCCTCGTTTTTAGCTCGATGATGGTGCATATTTGACATTATCCAGGGAGTTATGAGCTGAGTGCAAGAGGTCAGGACTATGGAAAACATGTAATCCCTTTAATTGACGTTAAAATACTAAAATCCCCGTAGTCAGCCGTTAATGATGTTTTCACACGGCAACAGCTATATGACAATGCCAAATAAGAAAAAGAAATAATAGAGGTGGTGGTAAAGTCAAGCAGGGTATAGTTTTACATTCACTTTAACAAGACGCGGAACAGAGAAGGGTACCAAGACAGTACCAAAGGGTGAGCAGGCTCTGTCACCTTCCCAGAACTGCTTACAAAGAACCACTGGATAGTGTGTTGGCCAGACCCTAGCTTTTAGTCAACAAATTCCTACCAGATTAGGCAACAGGCTTCTTTTTCTGCCCAGCACATCTTACATAGCATGACAAACATTCCATGACAAATAGAGCAAAAGTGGTTTCTCTGCTTGCTCCAAACTGGGAGGTCAGTTAACTTAAAACAGAATGAGTCGTTACTCCACGGATGAGTTGGCTGGTTTTGTTGTAGGCCGTGTTTAAGATTAAGGTTAGCAGGAAATTGATGGGATGTATTTTAAGCACAAAGAGCCATATAGAGCTTACAGCACAATGATGTGAAGTAGAGCGGCTGTATAAGAGTTTGATCTCTCGTCCTGTATTCACTTGAAGTTCAGCATGGCCAAGTGTGCTTCTACAGTATGTGATGGGAGTAGTACCAGTTGTGGAGCTCGTCACATGAAGAGCATTTTATTGGATACAACATGTGTGTATAGTGTGTCCCTTGATTAACCACTTTCTCCACAGGTCTTGGAAATGGTGTCACATGTTCTGTTTTGTTTGTTTGTTTGTTTTTACAGGGAAAAACTTCAACCTGGTGGCCAATTTTCTGAAGCGGCACTTCAACCTCAGATGTGTTGCCAAGCAGTTCTATGGGGGTACGTAACCAAAGAATCAATTTCCAGTTAAATGAATCAGAAATAGATGCCTCGATGGCTTGTACTCAGCCAAATTTCCCACAGACCGAGCAAGTCATCTGTGGTCTGTATGTTGATTTTTCCCCCCTTCACTTGTTTTTATGTCCTGTCCCTACCTGCTCGGGGTGTTGTTGAGAACAGGCAGCCATTAAGTGGTTCCCTGGAGAGGCTGCTGAGAGTGGGAGAGACAGAGGGAGAGAGATTGGAGGGCTGTCTATGGAGGGCAGTGAGAATCTATCTCCACGGCCCATCTAGTGCCTGTGACCCGTGGCCACCTTTTCATGGGACCAACATGGCTCTCTTCCTGTCAGTAAAGTTAATATCTGTTCCCTAAGGGCTTGGACGTTAAGGCAGCTCTGACCTGCTGCAGACTGAGATGACGGCTTCTCTCAGCAGGTCCGTTACGCATCAAATTAGACCCAGTCTCCTGAGGTCAAAGGTTGTGTAATTTGGTCCAATGAGTTAGCTGTAGGTAGCTGAGTTAGTGGTCAGGTCATGTAAATCAGCTATAAAACAGATGGTTAAAATCTTTAGTTATACATGGCAAATGGCATGGTACCCTTTTAGATGCTACTAGGAAGACTGAGGCTAAAACACACTGGGACCTTTTAAAACTTACTATAATTAGCCATTCAAAATGCTGTTGTATTTTCTGATTTAGCTGAGTTTTATTTCACCCAACAACGCAAATGATCAAAGGGTCGGGGACCTGCACTAAAATGATTAAATTCTCCATTTATTTACAGACTGATATTTACGGATAAAAGAAAAGATATCTGTCGGCAGTGATTAGTTGTTCCTCGTCATATGACATGTGCTGCAGCATTCCAAAAGTTGAACTATTGTTATCTCGTGAATCGTGATAAATATGCGTGTGGGAACGCTTGCGCACTGCGACGGCAACGCAATCGATTTGAGGGCACAAGAATTGGACATGTGAAAGGCCCCTTTGTAATCCTCCTTACATACTACACACAATGTGTGTGTACACTAATGAAAGTGTGTGGTATATGCAAGCTCTGTTTCAGCTTAACCAAAGTGTGTGTATTGGCTGTATTTATAAATCCACACAAGTGAAGCAAAACCAATGTCTTTAAAAATGGCCACTGAAGAGGAATATAAGCTTTCACAGACTAGATTCCCCACCGCTGTAAACCCTCTGAACAGAGGGCGGTAAGCTCAGCGGATCAAGAATGCAAGATGAAGAATACTATAGCATGTCGTCATGGTCCCGTAATTTGTTCCCGCAGGAAGTGATGCAGAATTTTGGACTTTCTATGCAAGTAATTAACATACATGAGGCTATGTAACGGGCCATATATCAGTCAGATATTGGCCATTTTGGTTGTCCAGTTGAGGTGATATGTTGAAGTCAGTTATTTATCATGATATAATACATGTAATAGTATTGTTGTTGTAAATGGTCTTTGCCTTTGAAGCAGATAAAACAGTCTTATTACTCCCAAGAGCCGTTGTCGACATAAACTTGTCTAATATTTCATGCTATGTATGTGGCTCATAAAGCTCAACAGCTATCTGTAAACTGCCCTTTTCTCCCTGTTCTGAGGGACAGTAAATACTTGGTGTTTGTAGATGTGAATTTAAATCTCAACCACATTTCCATCTTCATAATTAGAAGTGAGCCCACATTATTAACTAGCATGGTCTGTGTTGTTTCTTTGCCTGCCTTCAGATTTGCGTGTGTTTCCTGAACGCTATGTTGTGTGCGCGAGCTGTCCAGAGGACGCCGCAGCGCACCATGGAAACCTGAGCATGGCCGCGGTGAGTGCTGTTTATACTCCTCTATTTCCTCTTCCAGTCGCCTGGCAAAAATTCCTGCATGGGTCTGTGTGTTATTATAGGGATGTGTTACCAAATTGTGCTCTCACTTTATTATGCTGATCCTTAGTAACGTGAGGCGGGGCGGGGGGGCTCTGAACCTGCCGGGGCTTTTCACAGACCCCGTGAGGAGGAAAGAGAGGATGGCTCGGGGTTGGATGGAGCGAGGTGGGGTCCAAAAGGTGCAGAGTCACCCTTTATCCAAAAAAGTTCCTGCTCCCACATTCTGCCAATTCACCCCAGCTGTACAATTTCTGGTTGTTCTCAAACGTGGGATTTTTGCAAACCTCAAAATGTATGGGTAGTCGACAATATAGCCAAAACACATTTTGTGCATTTTAGCTCTTGGGAAAGTCTCAAAACTTCTAGAACTCATTGTGGCACCGCAGTCAATGTTGACATTGTCAGAACATAACATTCATCATTTAACCAGCTTGCTCCAAGTGTAAACACTGAATATTCACTATGTATATGTAATTCATACATCCTATTCTCCCGTGTTACAGCATAACAGTGAGCTACAACAACAAACACTGGGTTTTTAAAGGGGGAATTCTGTTAATGTGATTGTGTGCAGTCAACTGTCATGTGCTTTGATTGATTGGATTCAGATCAAATTGGGTTCACTGGGTATTTCCCTGTAAGACTCTAAGCTATATTATGCACACTGCCCATGTCATAAGACCTTCTACTCTAGTTCTTTTTTGTCCATTAATTTTACGGACAACTATCCTTTGGCCAGTGCTCATTCGAATCCAAACTCCCAAGAGTATTGTAGGAAATGGTGGAGGAGCCTCTCACCTTGGCACTCACATCAAGGACAGACATCTCTCCCATCACATCCCATGATCAGTGGGCTGCTGTTTTTCTATGGGGGTTTTTGCTATTGTTTCCCTTTGAAATGTCTCTGCACTCTCCACAGTTTGGCTTCCAATGAAAGCAGTGATTGTAATATTTTTAGTGGAGCAACTCAGTCGTCAGTGAAAAGTTCAGATTGTGTAACCAATTTTCCATTTCAAGGAGGCATTGCTGTCGATTGCGTTCCTCTCCTCGGGATGTGGTTCTCTGGGCTCATACAGTACATGCAGAGGGAGCTGGAGGGTGGGAGTCTTGTGGTGGCTCTCTCACTAGCCCAACCTCGAATGTGGTTTGTAGGGGAAAGATACCAGACAGCAGGGCTATAGTTTTTCACATGACAAAAACAATTATTTGTTTACATTCTTCGCTCTGTTCCAATTTGTCAGAAACTGAGTTTTTGCGATCTCAGTGTTGCCAAGAAAGTTGAAAATCTAAATGAAAAAAAAACTTATCCAGTGAGTCACATCTGATGTAAGGCATACTAATGTTGCTGTCTAAAAATAATGGGACCTTTGGAGTTCAATGTCAAAGTTGGTCATATGCTTAAGAAGGGGTCTTTTATTCCACAGCTCTTGACAGCATGAGCCTGCTAGTCCCAAAAAAAAGCCAAATTTCCGTGTATTTAAGGAGGTTTTGTTGTTGGGATTTAGTTTGTGTGACTTGTTGAACAAAAATCCTTAACCGCAGTGGAAATGTAAACTCATCAAGTTAGCACTTCTCATAAGGTCAGAGGGTTATGTTATGAGGGAACTAACGTGACATCATTGTTGGCCTTTTGTGCTGTGAAAGCCAGCATCTCGGTCCCACGCTTGGGCATGCTGTACGTCTGTGAGCTCTCATTAGACATATTTTCAGCTGTGGTTCAGTTAGGAGATGGGATGGTGAGATTTAGTCATTTACAGAAGTGTAGAAGGAACTAGGAAACCAATTATTGTTGATTTTTAGTACATAAACCTACATTTTTGTGTTGAGGCTACAGATATTTTCTTCAGGAGCTGATGGCGGTAACAACAGAGCTAAAAGGATAGTGAATTTTAGACCTGCAAACTTGCTAACATGTTCGCCATAACAACCTTAAAAAGTGATATGTCAATTTTGGTTTTACATGTTGCTTTCGATGCCCGAGGTGGACAAGTTCAGTTTAAAAGGTGGAGGTACGCTCAAAACAAACCACTGTTTACGATATGTCGCCCAACCACGTCGGCAGGGCTGAGCAGAACTTGGAGGAGAGGCTTGTCACTTAAATGAGAATAGCTGGTTCCCCTTAAGAGGTCAGCCCACCTTGAGCGAGCAAGTCTGAGCCAAAGGTGTTGCTAACTTCAGGGCTAATTCCCTTCACTTTAATCAGCAAGTGACTAGCAAGACATGGGAACTTGGTTTGGGTCTTGTGGTGTTGTAATATTTATTCACGGACAGCCTTAAGTGCACACACACACACACACACACACGGGTACTCTCTTCCTCTTGATCACACACTGAATATCGCAAATGTTAAGCACACAACCTACGCACTGAGTTATTCCTTAAAGGAATAAATAATTTGCCGATGCTTAGGCCTGGCGTTGAGTCAGCTTCGGCCCCGCGGGCCGACGGGCTTGCAGTACTCTGCCGGAAATGTCTGTTTCCAAGAGTTACAGCAGTTATTGTCGATGTTGGAAACTAAAAGGTTTCAGACGCTGTTCGACCACGAGACAAGGGCTTTGGTTTGAGCATGAATGATATTTGATCTATGAAAAGACGAATATCAGCCTGTTGTACTCGGCCTGTTACAACCTAGAACCGACTGTTGCTCTGCAGACGTGGGGCCACTGAAAGTACTGCGTTTGCATGGGAAGCAAACAAAAGGCATCTCTTCGACAATGTTTGTCTTCTTCTTGACATTTTGAAGATTAAAGTCCCTCACAAAACGTTGCTCCTATTGCGAGTCAGCGCCAACAGTGAGGAGGGCAGCATGGGAAGGAAGAGCTAGTGTTTAGGATTGCGGCCGATGTTTTCTAGTCAGGCACAGAGTGGGCAGCTGAGGTGAGCGGCGTGCTGGGCCGCAGACGTTTGGATCAAAGGCAGAGCAGATG